GACGCTACTAGGGGCTCCTGGCATCGCTACTAAGGAGCAAGGACGCTACTATAGGGGCTCCTGGCATCGCTACTAGGAGCAAGGACGCTACTAGGGGCTCCTAGCATCGCTACTAGGAGCAACGACGCTACTAGGGGCTCCTGGCATCGCTACTAGGAGCAAGGACGCTACTAGGGTTCCTGGCATCGCTACTAGAAGCAAGGATGCTACTATAGGGCTCCTGGGATCGCTACTAGGAGCAAGGACGCTACTAGGCGCTCCTGGCATCGCTACTAGGAGAAGGACGCTACTATAGCGGCTCCTGGCAGCGCTTCTAGGAGCAAGGACGCTACTAGGGGCTCCTGGCATCGCCACTAGGCGCAAGGACGCTACTAGGGGCCCCTAGCATCGCTACTTGGAGCAAGGACGCTACTGGGGGCTCCTGGCATCGCTACTAGGAGCAAGGACGCTACTAGGGGATCCTGGCATCGCTACTAGGAGCAAGGACGCTACTAGGGGCTTCTGGCATCGCTACTAGGAACAAGGACGCTACTAGGGGCTCCTGGCATCGCTACTAGGAACAAGGACGCTACTAGGGGCTCCTGGCATCGCTACTAGGAGCAAGGACGCTACTAGGGGCTCCTGGCATCGCTACTAGGAGCCAGGACGCTACATGTCAACAGCACTCCCGGTTCTCGCCTCTAAGCGTTGTGCCAGGTTTTGGAGGAGCCGCTGCTCCGGTGCACGGCTTGAGGACTCCTCAAGTGCCTGCAGAAAAGGACATGGGATGATGTGGGCAACACGTTGAGCACTCTGCGGAAGGGAATATGAATGCCCCACAGCAGGAAACTAACTGTACAATTATGTAAGATCCATTTGCAGTTGTTACCATTTGTCGATACAGCATTTCTTTCACCACATACATGGAGCATCCAATGAAGGGGATACCGGGATACCTGGTCCAAAGCATAATTATATGGCCGCCTACCACACGGTCTACAATCAGTATTGAGTATGAGTATTGTCTGCTGGGCTGCAATGTCTGCAGGCAGGTTTGGGCAGCTTGATGTAAGCGTAGCATTGTAAGCTCACGAAGTGACTTCCACTCACTTTTCTAGATGCAGCTAGGGTTGCGCGCCAAAGTAGGACAGGTTCTCCCAATGGAGTTGAGCGTGTCCATCCCTCTGGCTTCCAACACTTGTAACACATGCTGGCATGGCATGTTGGAAGCTAGGCAGTTATCAGTTGCAGGAACTGAATGAACTATCATTTCCAGCGGTGAAGAAGAAACCCTAATGAATCCAAACCAACAAGCAAAGAAATGAAATGAACACATTTGACAACTGTCTGGCATTGCTGTCACTTGGTTTCGGTCTCTGCCAGCTGGGTTCTAAAACAGAATCATCTGATGAATTCAATTCAAAGACCGCTTCGCGCTTTCTCGGCAAAAGCGGATGTAAGTCTGAGCCAAAAGCGCGTTGCAGGCTACAATATGTAGGTTTCTACAAGCGCTTGACCCACAAGGCCGACTGGAAGGTGCACCTAATGAAGCCAATAGCAAAGTCAAATTGTGATTTTTCCATTTGGTGAACGGCTTGCTATCATTAGGACTACCTCCTCTTTCGACCATGACCTAGAAGTGCCGAGAATCGGCCTACTCAAAACTATCCTTATCAGGATATTGATATTGATGAGCTCTAAATAAGTGGTGAAGACCTGAGTCTGTTGCCCGGTCACCCCGCATCTAATCATCATCTGGAAGAACAGTGCTGTTCTCAGAGCTTGCTTCGCCATCCTCATGACTCCCAGTCCTTGGCAAAATTCTCTAGAAACTCAAAGCGTGCATTGCAAGTGGTTAGCCAAGCAAAATGTAGAATGTTTAAGGTCAAGTTTCCCTAAAAATCTAGGAACCAAATTCAAATGAATAGCTATCCTGCCTCCATATGTACAATGTAGTCCTGCCTCCTTAATTAAGTAGGGAGGGAGGGCAGTGGGCTAAACAATACTCTAATTCCGCTAATTCCAAACCCAACACCTAATTGAGTTTAGTGCTCACTCTCAACTTAGGACCTACACACAATACCGGTGATGCTTTTTCTCTGTCTTTGTCTTCTTCCCGCTGCGAACTAATTGCAGAACCTAAGCTGGGAGCCTCACTTGCTTTTGTCACAGTAGGTCCCTACATACAGTACATGGTCAATATCAATGGCAGCCTCCCAAACAAGCCCAAGTGTAGGAGAATATCGAACTTGGATGGGGACTTGAATCAGTTTAGAAATTGTTTTCCGCCGTGAAGTGGCCGTCTCACACCTCCCAAAATAGCCCAAGCCTCGTCTTGGGGATCACCACTTCAAAAATGCTGAGCACCTCTTCATAGCCGCCCCAACGCTGATTCTTCCGTTGGGCGTACTCCTCTGGAGTTTGGCCCCGGTATTTGACGTCAGGACGTGCACCGAGCTGCAATAGTGCCTGTGTGTGCAGCACTGGTGATCGGAAGCTGTTGCAAGCGACTCGGACTCAAAAGCAAGCACTCATCATCGTGTGCCTTGACCACTGCGGCATTCTTCTGATGCACTGCGGCATGCAATGGATAGCCTGAGCTCCACCAAACCCACAGAACGGAGCTCCAAAAAGGTGACTGCAAACGGTGAGGAGTTAGTTAATTATAAGGAATGCCTGGCATGCGTGGAGGCCGAGCCCTTGCACATGATCACGTGGAAAGGACGCATGAAGTATACACTTTACAACATGGGAAACGTCAACCACAGGTATCGGTATGAAAGTACGGCGACTTTCTTCTTCTTCGACCAAGTCTGACTCAACACAGGTTTGCCAGTCAAAGCTACTCCCTCTCCTGCAACTCGTTCAAACAACATCAAACAACAACTCCTGTACTTTCTTAATCTTCTTCCATCACTTCAACACTTATGAGAAGTTTTGAAAAGCTTTGCACATTGGAGCCCCATTGCCTCATTGCATGAAGAACTTGGGACTCCTCCGCCGAGCCACTAGTCATGCCCCACGAGCGCTTTGCCTGGATTCTGGATCAGCGGTTTTATGTTCACAGGAGGACGTGGGGGTTCACCCATTGGCACTCCACTGGACCTAGACCCCGCAGTCTGGTTTTGGCTGATTCAAATGATTCACTATGGCCACATGGCACGAGAGATATGCCCTGCCCACCTCGTTGACGTGCATAAACCCATTGGTTTCCAAAAAGTCCTTCACAAGCACCTTGCGCTTGTCTTCCCGGGACACGACACCTTGGCTTGTTGCGGTCGAGTGTCACGTTGTCTGAGTGTTGCTTATTATCTATGACCGCTAGCTGCTCACCAAGTTTTTGGATTCCATGTTGATCGCATCGCACATTCACAGTTCAACAGGATCTTGAAGACGCTTAGGCTGCAACTTTGTCCGCTCTTCCATGTGCTCGACCGATGTGTTAGCCTGCCGCTTTTCATGCTTCTGGCCGTCATCAGGGTCAGGGTATCCTCGCGGCCTGCGTATGCCGCTGGTGGATGTGCTGCCCAGGCGAGTCGGTTGCTAACGCGCCAAGTGGGCGCGTTTGGGGGGAATTGAGTCATGTCTAGTGTTTACAAAGAGTTCTGGCCCCGTTGATTGTAAATATATTTTATAAATATATGCAATGTCATATTCTTGGAAATGGAAGTGGCAAGGAACTGACTACACAGGCAAAAAAATAATTCTTGCACAATTATACACACACTGTGGCTGGCAAACAAGGGGTTCTCAAACGGTGACAACCTTGAGAATTACACTGTTTGGGCTAGTCAGCGGTGAATACAGGCAGCCGCGCCGCAGGCATGAACACAGCTTTGGAGAACTTCTGCCCTCTTCCGTGCCTATGCCTGGTGAAGAGTCTCCATCATCCAAGTTGATGCTGGGCCTGTTGCGCATGCTGTTGCAATCTGCTTGCTGAAACTGGTCAATCTTCCTAAAGGGCTCCGATCTATTTTGGGATGTTTGTTCTATTATTGGATTTGTTGTTTTTTTTGGCTGGTATGATTTCGTGGCAGGCGCAGCACTTCGTGAACTTCGGAGTGCGGATACTTTGGAATGGTTCCTTCCTTCTCGAAATTTTACCATCGGCTTAGTCACCAAAAGTATGCTACGTCCCCTCCTCCAATGGCGAGCCCCGGCTACGCACAGCCAAAGTCCTTGTCTCCACCACCGGAACCACAATCCTCAACTGGCTGCCAAAAGGTGTGCTACATTGGAATGGCCTCTTCCTGCTCTAACCTTTAAATTCGGGCGGCTGTCTCCCTTAAATTAAGTTTGACCTTTGGGTGGCCCACAACTGGCATTGTAGGTTAGAATGGCCCTTTCCTCCTCTAATTTTAACCTTCGGGTGGGCCACAAAAGTATGCGTGCGTGACATGTTTTCATGGCTCCTTTCTCTAAAGATTTCCCTCAGGCGGCTCACAAATGGCCCGTTCCAACTATATAATTACAAAAGACCGTCACACCACGAAGGAATAAGTCACTTTCACAGACCCAGAAAAACAATTTTCCTTTTGCTTTACAGTACTGTATGTATTCCTTTCTTCTCTGTGCCTTCCTTCCTTGCCTTCTGTGCCTTCTGGCCGTCCGACCAGGAGAAACAAAAACAAAAACAACATCCTGATCCTGTAAAAAATGCGCCTCCCTGACAGATCCTGTCTCCATCACCGTCACCACGGTTTTCATCTATGTCACGCATCTTACCACGTCACATGTTGCAGATTGGTGAAGGGACAACTTACAACTTCCGGATTTCTATAATCGAAGCCTCAAAGCTTTCTATTATATACAGTAATGTCAACCTAGGATTAGGGAACCCCCCCTATTAGTCTACCCAGCGTTCAGGCCCCAATAATAAACTAATTTGAACTACTAATTTCCACAGTCACCACCCTCTAATAAAAATTTTTCTTGGCTGAAGCCCCCCCTATTAGTCTACCCCCTGTCCCCCCAGGCAAAATATAACGATTCAAACATATAGGTTTCTTCTTTTTCCGTTTTCAATATCTTTTGGTCCATGGTGAAACTGATGTTCTGATCCACTCTTTTCCCATGCCATCTGTTGAGAGATAGCATTCTGATCCACCCTTCTCACATGCCATTTGGCATTCTTCCAGGGATCTTCCTGCCCATCCTCTTCCCCTCCTTCCTCATCCAATAGGCAGTGCATTTCCACACATTGCAACCCATACACCCACTGGAATACCTGCACTTGCCACATACCCCCATCCCATCCAACTCAATCTTGGTTTTGGCTTTCAAATAGGCTGCTGGGAGCTCATCCACCCTCAAAGCACCACCCTCATTCACCAATTTCCAAGCATCCTCCTGCATCTTATTCAACTTCTTATGCTCTTCCTTCATCTTCCCAGCCAATTCTGCAATCTTCTCCCTCTCCAACCTCATCTTCTCCCCATTCTTCTTGTCCTTCTCATCCAGGGCCTTCAAATCCTTAATCCTCTTATTCCTCTCAACTTGCAGCTGCTCACCCAACTTCCTCATCTTGCTGATCCAGTTCTGGGCAGCAACCCATGGCCATCCAACGGCTGCTGGCCCATACCCCATGGCTTCAGCAACTTCCTGCTCCATATAAGCCAATACAAATACACCACATTGATTGGATCCCTTCTTCTGCCTTATCACCCATTGTTCCTCTCTAGGGATGGCCTATCCAAGAACTTCTCATCAATGAAACTCAGCAATGAAGCCAATAGCAACTCAGCACTTTCCTTGGATAAACCTGATGGTATTTCCAATGTCTTATAGTACCTCACCTGCCTATCAAAAGGCACATCCTTCCTGAGATCCAATACCAGCAAGGTCCAATGCCCACCAGCTGGGATGGGGATCTGCAAATAGCCTTTTGGCATGCTCTGATACCTTCTCAAAAGGTGCCACCAAGTTCTTGTTTCCATGCTCATTCTGCTGATGGCCAATGAGGCTGTAGCTCATGGAAGGGTGCATGAACCTCACAGAATCCAACTCATTCATGCTCTTCCCATTGAAGACCACCCTGAGCAAGGCCCATCCCAAAACCAATGTTTGAGTATAAATCCCATCCTCCTTGATACTCTTCTCTGATATGATCTCCACATCACCATTCTGATCAATGTATATAGCCCAGCCTCATAGAGCATTTGCAGCTTCACATCCCTGGTCATACTCAGGTGAGGCCATCTCCACACCTTCTCATCCCCCCTTACCTTGGTGATCCATTCTTTTTTGACCCATGCCTTTCTGTCACCCTTATTCCTCCAATCCTCCTCCAATACCAAATGGACCTCATCTTCACCAACCCCCAATGCTTCACCCTGCCTCCCATACAGGGTTTGTCCAGCAAGCTCATTGGTGACCCTGATCTTCCCCTCCCATCCATCTGGTGGTGCAAATGCTGGTGGTGGCAATGGGACATTGGCTTCACCCTTGCCTTTCTCATCCTTTTTATCCTCCAATGGAAGCTTCTTCTGCTTAGATTTCTTATCACCCTGCTCATGCTTCCCATGCTTTGCATCCTCCAATGCATTCTTCTCTAATGCCTTTTCCCTCACCTCTGCTTCTGATAGTTCTTCTTCACCTTTTTCATGAAGCTAATCTTCTTGTCCTTCTTCTTATTCTGTGACCCCTTCCTGGTAGCTGATGGCACCATTGAACTCAACACCTCATGCCTGCTTCTCTCCTGCAGCTGATCTCTGATGGCTGTCTTCTCTTCATCATCCAATCCCTTGGCAGCATCTCTCATAGCTTTCCTTTTCTTCACCTTCTGATCCTTCTTCTTCCTCTTTTCTTTTGCCTCATCGCTCATCAAACTCTCCCTCAGCACTGCTGCCTTCCTATAGGCCAATGGCAGTTGAAATTGGCTGGCCTGCACCCATTCTGGTGTGTTCTCATCAGCAATTCCTGGAATGTCAGCATCTTTGTACCAATCTTGATCTGAATGATACATCCATTCAACCAAATCAGCCAATTCCTTGGCCCCTTGAATCTTGTCCAATTGGGAGGTGTGATAACCCCATGCTTCTCCACATGTGCCAACCTATTCTTCAACCATCCCTCATGAATCCTGTCACTTCCCAGTGGCATATCCTTTGCCCATGGCTCCTCACCACACCACTTCATGATCCCATCCCTCCCTGGCCTCATAGCCAGGAACCCATTCCTCCTGAGCCCTTTCAGCACCCATTGCCTCTCATTGTTTTTCTCAACCATACCTTCCATACCTTCATGTAGGCATTGGGCAATGTCCTTCATGCTCATCTGATACACCTCACTGGTGCATGATTCTTATCAACAGATTTCCTGGCCAAGCTCTTAAAAACATAGCTGAAATCTGTATCAGTCAATTGCATCATAGCAGTCATCTTGGGAGGAATGATGGCCTGAATCTGATGCGCAGTAAACATAGTCCTCATTGTATCATCTGAAAATGATGCTGCAAAGCAATCCCTCTGATAAATGGATGCTGGATACATCCTGGCATGCATTGCAATCACCAGCTCATGATCACATTGTCCTGATTGGAGCTGGGTTGCGAATAGACATCATAGTGCTCCAATAAATGAGGATGATCCCTTCTGATCTTGACCCATTGCTCCAAGGCCCTCCTGGCACTCTCACCCTTCCTATGCACCTTCATCTCCCCCAAATAGGAGACTGTCTCATCCTCAACCCATCTCCCATTGTCATCAATGTTGTCCAATCTCGCATGTTGCCCAGGTACTATCAGCACGCCCTTTCCCACATGTCCAATGGGATCCTCGTCAGGATTGAAGAAGTTGCTCACCAGCTGATGTGCCTCAAAAGTAATCCTCATCTTCTCAGTTGCTGAATCCTTCTTGATAGTCAAATGAGCCCTTCCCCCATCCTTTTGATCCTCAGTGGTGACCAATTGCCAATCTTGCTTTTTCTGATCCTCATTGGGCTCCTTATCTTCCAATGCTGCTTGGCTCTCATTGGGGTTCTCACCTTCCAATGCATCATGGTGCTCAGCCTCATCCACCAATTTCTTATCATGGGCTTGCTTGTTGAGCTCATCTTGAAGATCCCTCCTAATCAGTCTGATGGGTTTCCCATGTGTCCTTGTCTCATGGGCTGCAAATACAGCCTTTGTTGATCCCTTTTTCACCCATACAGGAACCTGATCTGAGAATCCAAGCATGCAGCTCATCTTGTTGGCCTTGACCTCATCAGGCTTTGCCACATAGTGCTTCAGATCTTCATGTCCCATGGACACAAGGCTCATCAGATAGTCATGATGCTGTCATGCCAATTCTGCTCCAATCTGCTGCTCCTCATTGGACAAGGGTGCCAATACATTGGGGGTCAAATGCTTGGCACGAATAGCATCCATAAGCCTCTTAGCACATCTTTCTCTTTGCTTTATCCCTCACCAAAACTCTTCATCTGGGATTCAGCCCTGTCCAACTCATTCATGCGTAGAATCCTCTCTGGCCCCTCATCCAGCTCATCCCTTTGCTTCTCAAGCCTTTTCTTCTCAGCTGATAGCAGCTTATAATACCTCCATGCTAGATCCACCTTCGGAACCCCATGCCCATGACTCCTTTCCATTTCAAGCCAATCCTTCACCTCATCATACAAGTGTGGAAATTGTCTCTTGGCACCACCTCCTGATGCCCTCAATCTCAATTTGTTCCCACCTGATGCCCTCTTCCCTTTGCTCAACCCACTGCGATCCTTTCTACAATCTTTGGCTGAGCTTTGCTGATGCTTCACCATCTCATTTGCCCATTTGGACTTCTCATGATATATGTCCCTCAACTTATCACTTCTCATCTTCAGCTGCTTGCTGAAATGGTTGAACAAATCACACTCATCTGGGAATTCTGACCTTGCCCCATCAAGCTTCTTGCAAATCTCATGCTTGGTTGA